CCTACCGCCGACGCTGCATCCACCGCTGCTGTCGCCGAGCCTACCACGACCAAGGCCACATCGATCTCGAGCACGAAGGTCGGCGCCGCTTTGTCCTCCGCTGCCGCATCGACCAGCACTGGTCGCTGCAAGGCCGGCAACCGCAAGCGTCGCGCCGAGAAGAAGCGTCAGGCCGACGAGGCGCTCATTTGCTATGAGGGTGCGTGTTGTTCCCGCAAGCGCCTGCAATCTTTCAAGATCAACCCTCTCTCAAACTCAACGGCGGGGCGAAGTGGCATGGATGACATTTGTAAAGCTAAACAGAGCATGTACATTGACGTATTCTGTAAGCCTCGGTACGCCGAGGACACATCCACAGACGAGAAGATCCTCCACTTGTAGACAAACGGCGTGAATGCCTACTGAACGGCGGTTTCCTGCAAGGCGAATTGACACAGTACGGACAGTACGCGCATAATGTTGTACAGGACTGGCGTAAATAGTAAGCACCAGAACGCCGATATGTTTACGAATGTGAGCCGTACCTGAACAGCGTTGGCAGACCGTCCGCCAGCCGGCCGCTAGTGCGACGGGTGCCCTGCAGCGATAGCGGCTGACAGCTCAAACGCATCCTCATCGATGACATCGCGCCGGGGATTCGTGTCACCGTACTTGGCCACGATTAGCTCGCTGGTGCGCCGGAAGACATCTTTCACAGAGTGTCGGTCGCGGGCGTCCCTTGCAGTCATGTAGGCTTGCGTGAACTGCAGCACGCCGCACCGCCGGGGGGTTCTGACTGTTGCGGGCTGTCGTCGGGGTGGCATATCGGTGGCTGGAGGTGGTGCAGGGTGCGGGCAAAGTAGGCTCGGATCCAGCCTGTCGGTTCCAACTCCGCTCCGCTCTGTGGGAAACGGCTGGGCTCTCTCGGGCCCCTTTTGGCGCGCCAGCCAAAAGATGCGCGCGACTTAGCGAAATCTCGCTCGCGTTTGACCTGTGCAGGCATTGTACAGAGCAGGATTAGCCATCCCGCCTGCTTACTTGGGAGAAATCAGTAGCTACATGTACTCACTTGCTCCCTGGCAAAGATTGTACACCTGAAAGGGTGTACGACAGAGAATCCACTGGGAACAGGGCTCGTAGGCTGAGAAAGGCAGCGGGCATTATAGGTTATGTTAAGCCTAGAACCTTTGTATCGTGTTAGCAGAGTGGTCGGGCGCCCAGGGTGTGTTTTGCATTTTTTGCCTCGAGTTCGAGGGTTCGATCCGATTGCGCTGCGTTTGGATCCCGCACATCGCGTCTAATGGTCAGTGGCACTTGCTCCTCTTTACTTGTTTGCTTTCTCTTTCGCTTGGGCGAACAATACATAGACAAGTATACGAAGGCCACGGCCGACATACCAGCCGCAGAGTGATATATGAAAGTCGTGCGAGACGAGACGGAATGAAACCAAGTACTATGCTACAAAGTTCCGGCGAAATAGTGTGAATAATTACGACGGAACTGTACGAGAGGGATAGGTAGTATACTGGTCTGCATCCTGTTCGGGGAGTAGCGGCGCCATGAAGGGTGCCACGTAGCCGCTCGGGGAACCCGCGTCCGAGGCTGACGACGGGTATGGACGAGGGGAAGGGCCGATATTCGCCTCCTGTTGCGCATAGGCCATCTGTCGTGCATACGCCGCCTGGTGCGCGTATGCCGCACGTGCTTGGGCCTCTTGCTGTGCATATGCCGCATATGCCGCCTGTTGCGCATATGCCGCACGTGCTTGAGCCGCCTGCTGCTCGTGTGCAGCTTGCACATACGTGGAGTGGTGCGCGAACGCATACGGCGAGTATGCCATCGGCGCTTCCTGCGGGTGAAATCGCTGCCCGTGTGGCATGTACTGCGGGTACGACGGTGATCCGTACTGTGCATAGGGCGGGTACGGGGGTTGCGTGTAAGCGGGCTGCATCGGACGTGGCGTATCGAGTGATTGGGGGCCGTGCATTCGGGGCGTTGTGGCGACGAAGGGTGGTGCAGTCGCGCTATGCACCTCACGCTCGGCTGTGAAGCCCGTTCCGGCGGGCTTGACCGGTATATCACCGCGAACTTCGACCTGTCGCTGGAAAACGCCACGCTAGATGCGAACGTCAGAGATATCGACATGAAGATGAAGCAGGACGCACTTGTTCGTCTTGCACAATGGGCTGACCATCTGGCATTTCAGTAGTCTTGCGCTTCTTCGCCAGAGTAGCTGGCGTAGCTTGCGTGGGCGAGCTGTCATCTACATCCCCGATTGCGGGCCGTTTTGTGGATGTGCGTGTTGTCGAGGATGAAGTTGAAGGAGCAGTAGTCGAAGGAGCAGCTGCAATTACTGCACTCGCGATGGACTCAGTGGTATCGGCCGCATCAGCGTCGACAGAAGCAGGCACTGGTGGCTCGATGGTGGACGATGAAAGTAAAGTTACGAGCTCCTCCCCATAACGGGGCCAGCGCGCCCATTCGCTCGAGAGGATCTTCCGGAGAGCATGGCGCGCTTGCATTAACGCCTTGGTGCCTGGTTATCGCCGTCCTTGCGACTGAGGATGCCAGTATCATGTCCGCGATTTGAAGCAGGGCATGTATGGTCATCAATCAGGCACTGATAGTTATAGCATAGTGTCATGTCAGTATAGATCTATCGCTCGACAAAGTGGATGCCCGCACTCTTCCCGGTCCCTGACCCAGTGTATGAACCCCTTCCGCACGAACTCGACTGCAGTACCTGCATCAGTTAACAGCTTGGATACGGCATCAGGGAGGTAGAGCTGAAAAAGCATGGGTTGAGATAACGCCTACATTTCGAGGACGCTCGTAGGTGGTCGGTGATAGTTGCAGTTCAGGACAGAGAGCAATTCTATCTTCAAGTTGTTGCGAAACCCACAAGAAGCAATTGTCGGACCGAGCGCACCGGCAGCTCATTCCGGGCTAACCCTTTCACACGAGGACAACCTGCGCGCTCACCACCACCACCATCATCACCGCGACCACCACCGCGCTTACAATGGCTCTCAATCTAAACGCACCGGGCGAACTTCAGACCACTCGTATTCAAGATCTGCCTGCGGAAGTCATCGACGACATACTGTTGCTGGCGAAGCCACGGACTAGTAACGCATGGGCAGTGAGCCAAGTGTGCCACACTTGGCGTGCGCGCTGCATGACTCACTTCGCGATGTGGAACACGGTCTCGTCCCAAGACACTATCGCATGCTTGAAAGAGGCACTTAGGCGCAGTGGAACGCATGTACTCAGAGTATTCATACTCGACGACGAGTCCTCGAACGACTTTGCTCGGCGAGTACGCTTCGTGGTGAGGGTTATCGAGAAGCGCATTCTCCGGATTGAAAGCATCGAATGCGACATGTCAGGCAAAGACCTTTCTTACGCGTGTCTGGGTATAGAGTTCCCAGCAGACACAGAAGCGCCTGCGCTTCGGTCTGTCAACTTTACTTACGCCGACGATAACGCGCTCTTGCGAATCCTTGAGGATATTCATGCACCCTTCATCGAGAACGTCCAGATAGATGTGATGTCGGAACACATCGTCGCGGCTTCCCAGCTATGGGCGAACTCAACGCTGCGGAGTCTCACCCTGACCGAGATGACTACGAGCGTCACCGAGCTCACAGAGTGTCTAAAGGGATGCAAACGCCTTCAGCGTCTATCTCTGACGCACGGAGATTTCGGTGAGGCTCCTGTAGAGGAAGACCCACCGATTGAGCTTCCTGATCTGGTTCAGCTATCGCTCGCACTCCAGCCCTTGGACATGACGCAACTCCTGGACAAACTGGACCTCCCTAGGCTTGTGGCGACTTCTTTCACGCCCTCCAGGGTCAATCTGGCCGGAGAGGACTGGACTCCCGCTATGCACCCGCTTGACGAGCACATCAATGCCTTGATTCGTTCAATCCTACGCACGGTTGCGAAACCACTGCGCCGCCGCCGATGCGACAGCATCCACTTTGGAAGCGCGCTGATAGTCGACGGCACAGAACCATCTCAAAGGCCCGCGGGCTATCCGGATAACGCTCCCATCATGGCATTCATGTTCGAGGAAGGGTTTGCTCGGCAATGCGGTTTGCTTAGCTTTGCCCGCGAGGTCATGTTCGGGGTAATCGCTATGCAATCAACCCTGCGGACTCTGGACATAGCTGTCCCAACAGTCTCTCTGCGAGCCGGGTGGACCGTGGAACGCCATTATCCCCGGTGCCCGCGTGCAAAGTTCGCGAAGACAGAGAGCAGCATACTCGCTGACCTGTTCACACCAAGTCTATGGGATGACACCTACAGTAGCCCATTACCGTCACTCGCGTCCATCAAGTTACGGTGTGTGTCAGATGCACTGCAACCAGTAGCCATACGAGCGATAGCGAACTGCGTTAAGCGCTTTCGCGACAAGGCAAACCATGCCATCGACCTGGACATCACCATTCAAGAGCTACGAGGCGACCCCAATTCCGACGAGAGCAACTGGGAGCTTCCGCCGGATACGGGCAATGACCCGCAGTGGCTGCAGTGCGGAATCGCCGCGTCAGACTATGAGACAATGCCACGTCCCGATCTAGGAGCGCTGGAAGTCGCGGGGGTCACGACCAGGATCAGATGGAAAGGCCCCGGAGATATGTAGCCAAATGGTCACTACTCAGTAACCTCGGAACAAGGGCGCGCTGCGCACATCGCTGGAGGCCCGTCACGCAAATGGCCCTCTGTCTTCTCACCTATGTTTACATGTATCGTGCTCGCTAGTCTTGGGAGCAGACCTTAGCGCCGCGCTCGAGTCCGCGTTATCGTGTGTCCCGGCGCTTACGCCTAGATCAGCCCGCCTGAACCTATTCGAATCATCTATCACTTGTACAGCGTACTCATGTACGCAAAGTCGTCGTCACTCACATCATGTACATATCCATACATACACATTGTGTAGTACTTCTGAATGTCACTCACGGGAATACGCCGTTATGTTGGTCCGGAACGGGCTGCTGCGCCGGAGCCGCGCCCCATGATCTCCGTGAGTTGACGCGGTGCGGCGGGGAAGCCGTCTTCTGTTCTCGCCCGAGTCTTGGCTCTGCACCACGATGACCCGCGCTGAGAGTCGTCAACTGCGCTGTTGGACGGGACCGGTTACAATCGTCTCCTCTTCTAGTCTCAAGGCTAATTCAAATGCACTCTACGCTACTCTACGGCGGGATCTCGATCGCAATGGGAAGAAACGCCTGCGGCGAAGAGCCCGAGAACCAGCTTGAGGCTCATGGGTTCAACCCGCAAGCATCTCGTCTGCCCTCGGGCGCCGCAGGCTCTCAAAGGACAGCGTCGGTCGTCAGCTTGAGCGCTCACGTCTCCGGTC